AATCATCAAAATCGTCATCATCTTCCGGATCACCATCATGATCATCATCATCGTTATCAACATAATCATCCGCATCATCATCATACGACTCTTTATCATCATAATCGCCATCATCATCATCATCCGAATCATCATCATCATCATCATCATCATAATCATCCGAGTCATCACCATCATCTTTCTCATCATCATCATCATCATCAATAAAATATTTATAAAGAACTTCATCATCTTCGAAATCTGCATCATCTTCTTCTCCATCATTATCATCGCCATCACCATCACCATCAACATCATCATCATCATCATCATCCGAATCATCATCATCATCATCATCATCATCATCATCATAATCATCATCATCATCATCATCGTCATCATCATCATCATCATCATCATCATCATCATCATCGTCATCATCATCATCATCATCCGAGTCATCATCATCATCATCATCATCATCATCATCATCAAATCATCATCATCATCATCCGAATCATCATCATCATCATCATCATCATCATCATCATCATCGTCTCCATCATCATCAACCTCATCAGCATCATCATCATCATCCGAATCATCATCATCATCATCATCATCATCATCATCATCATCAAATCATCATCATCATCCGAATCATCATCATCATCATCATCATCATCATCATCATCATCATCTTCATCATCAAAATCATCATCATCCTTATCGTCATCATCCTCAACATCACCATTATCTACATCATCATCAACTTCCACAAAGTAATCATTATCATCATCTTCGTCATACGAAACATCATCATGATCATCCGAGTCATCAACACCCGATTCGTCATCACTATCATCCGAATCATCATTATCAACATCATCGTCCTCATCCAGTTCATAGTCATCAACACCATCATCATCATCATCGAAATCGTCCTCTTCATCATCATCGTCGTCTGAACCACCATAATCATCATCATCATCATCATCATCATCATATTCATCCGAATCATCACCATCATCATCCCAATCATCATCACCATCAGCATCATCATCAATAAAATGTTCATAATGAACTGCAACATCATCGAAATCTTTATCATCTTTTCACCACCACCATCATCATCTTCGTCATCATCATCAATAAAATGTTCAGAATGAACTTCATCATCATCGAAATCTCCATCATCGTCTTCTCCGTCGTCATCATCATCATCAGTATCATCATCATCATCGTCATCATCATCATCATCAACATCATCATCCAAATCATCATCATCTTCATCAGCATCATAATCGTTATCATCATCGTCATTCTCGTCCGATTCATCATCATCTTCATCATCATTTTCATCAGCAACCTCGTCATCATCAACATCATCATCCGATTACTCCAAATCATCATCATCATCATCATCATCATCATCATCATCATCATCATTATCCAATACATCAGGACCATCATCATCCTCATCATGTTTCGTTACAACATCATCGTCATCTTCGTCATCATGATTATCATCATCATCCGTATCATCATCACCATCATCATCATAATCATCATCATCTTAATCATCATCGTCATTAACATCACCAACGTCATCCGAATAATCATCACCAGCGTCCTCATCATCGTCATCATCATCATCATCATCATTATGATCATATACATTATCATCCGAATCATCGTCATCACCAACAAAATCAGCAGAATCATAATCATCATCATCATCAACATCACCATCTTCATCCGATTGATCTGAATCATCATCTTCGTCGTAAACATCATCAACAAATCCATCGTCCAAAATATCAACATCATCATCAACATCATTATCCGAATCATTATCATCATCATCATAGTCATCATCATCATCATCATTATCATTATCATAATCATCGAAATCATCATCATCATCATCTTCCGGATCATCATCATGATCATCATCATCATTATCATCATAATCATCCTCATCATCATCATTCGAATCTTTATCATCATAATCGCCATTAATATCATCATCCGAATCATCATCATCATCATCATCATCATCTTCTACATCATGGTCATCATCATCATCATCATCATCACCATCATCGTAATCCGAACCACCATAATCATCATCATCATCATCATAATCATCAATAAAATGTTCATAATGATCTTCATGATCATCGAAATCTCCATCATCTTCTTCTCCATCATCATCATCGTCATCACCATCACCATCAACATCATCATCATCATCATCCGATTCATCATCATCATCATCATCAACATCATCATCATCTTCATCATCATACTCATCGTCATCCGAATCGTCATCATCCTCATCATCACCATTATCTACATCATCATCAACGTCAACACAGTTATCATTATCATCATCTTCAACATCAGCCGATGCATCATCAACATCCTCTTCATCCTCATTATGATCATCATCATCATCATCATCAACATCCGAATCATCATCATCATCATCAGCATCTTCATCATCATCATCATCATCAACGTCATCATCCGAATCATCATCATCATCATCATCATCATCATCATCATCATCATCAGCATCGTCATTAACAACGGAATCATCAACATCATCATCATATTCATCTGAAGCATCGTCAGCATCATCAACATAATCATATTCATCAATATCCGGTTCATGACCATCAACAACATCATTATCATCCGTATCATTTTCATCATCATCAACATCATCATATTCATCTGAAGCATAAACATAATCATCAACATCATCATCATCATCATCGTCATCATCATCGGGTTCCTCATCATCATCGTCTTCATCATCCAAATTCGGAGGCATCCGCGTCATCTTCATCATCATCATCATCATCATAATGATCTTCATTATCATCCGAATCGTCATCATCATCATCACCATCGTCATCCAAATCATCATCCTCGTCATCAGGATCATCCTAATCATCATCATCATCATCATAATCATCATCATCATCAAAATCATCATCATCATCGTCATCATCATCATCCGAATCATCACCATCATCATCATCATCATCACCATCATCATGGTCATCCTCATCATCGACGTCATCATTCGAGTCATAAACATATTCATCATCATCATCATCGTCATCCGAATCATCACCATCATCATCATCATCATCGTCATCATCATCATCGTCATCATCTCCATTCGAATCATCATCATCATCATCATCATCATCATCCGAATCAACATCATCATCGACATCATCATCATCATCCGAATCATCATCTTCATGATCGTCATCATCATCATCATCTTCATCATAATCATTCGAGTCATCATCATCATCAACATCATCATCATCATCAACAACAGCATCCGAATCATAATCATCATCGTCATCATCATCATCATAATCATCCGAATCATCATCAGCGTCATCATCATCATCCGAATCAACATCATCATCATCATCATCATCATCAATATCATCATCGTCATCCGAGTCTTCATCCTCAT